GACACTTTAGGCTAGATGCCAGTGTTTCCATTTGAGTATTAAGTGCTTGGCCAGGTCAAAAAGAAATTCTTGATAAAGCATCTAATGTGATGCCAAGAACCCAGCAGTACTCATCATGCTGTAATTGATGATGAGGCCCAACGGTTGAGCAATCTGTGGGTTTAATATTCTTGAACCGTAGTGTAGGTTCGCTGAAATATCTTTTGCTCAAAATTACTTACTAGCTGTGTCATCTTGGGGCACATTCCCCCTGCTCTCTTGGCTTCAGATGTCTCATCTGTGATGAGGTTAAACTGGATGATCTCTATTTTCCTTGGAGTCCTGATAAGGCATGATTTCTTTATACCATCAGAGTGACTGGGGGCTGGAATAAACAAAATCCCCATCGTAAACAAGTGTTCTCCCTCACAGCAATCTGGCTTCAATATAACTGGAATGGAGAGATAATAGAGATCAATATAATTAAATGGCATAAAAATCAGATCGACAACATTGACCATTTTAGCATACCAGCCCAATCTACTAGAGAATTGTGAGTTTTAACTTTCACATTTGTGAGTTTGATTCCTGCCAACTTTATGTCCTAAAGTGATACTGACTTTTTTTTTCATTAAAGTGATTGATTGATTTTGTAAAGATAGCCATTGAGATACTTAGACATATCCCAGGCTGTCACAAGGCCCGGTTTTTGGGGAATCAGTGTGACATGTTGTTGGCTCAAAGATCATTTCTTTAGTAGACACTACTGTGCTTCACTTATTACAAGGAGGTTGCTTCCCAGCTTCACCACCAAGGATCCTTTTAATTATTTATCTTTATGAACTCCGGGTTATGAGTAATTACAACTATTAAGCTATATTTATTAAATAGTAGCTTATTTCTCAGACTCGGTTAAGGAAACAGTGTTTAACCACTGCTCAGAGCTTTTGATCAGTGAGCTATGCAATGTAATCAAAGGTGGTATCATTCTGGCTAAAAAGAAGTATATGTGATATTTTGATTAGCTCTGCCATAGGTAAATGTAAAATTTCTGTTAGGAATTTGGAAATCAAATATCTTGGAAACTCCCAGACGCTTAAAGGAGATTCCTAGTGAGCCACAGATTACAGTTTAGGAGCTTAATGCGTGTATTAGGGAACAGTCAACCTAATAATAATAAAATTGTAGTCTGTGGGTAATGATGATGGTTGTTATTGCTCATACATATTGGCAATGTGTATACCTGGCTTTAACTGGCTTTAACCACTGTATACATTTAATCCTTTATTCCTGAGCTACAGAGAGGTAAAATTACTTACCCAGGGACACACAGCTAGGAACTGGTGGGATTTGAACCCAGGAAGGTTTGAGGAGATGGGGGTGACAACTACTGTTCATAACCTATCAGTGGGCAAAGAGAGCGCTTTGGTAAATGAATAAGAGGAGAAGCGTTGACATTTATACCGGCAGAGTCTTAAATTGCTAGAATATGGGAAGGCGTCAGATCTGTGTGCAGGGAAACGTTTGAGGTGCCCAGATAGAATTGGAGACAGGGCACTCTGCAGGTTAGTAGCCAAGTTTGTGCATTTGAATTGAGGATTCTGTGAAGGCTAAAAGTTGGGCCAACCAATAATTTGTTGGTCAGAGTGGTGAATTCCAAGTGGCCAACCTGTTTGGTGGGGGTGGAAGGGGTGGGGGATGGGAAGTGGGGTAGAGGAGGATATTGCCATTTTAAGGCTGGGAACAAGGGTTGGAGAAGGGGGAAATGGCCCCCACTAGACAATTACATGTATGTGATAAGGTAGGAGAAGGGAGAGTGAGGAGAAAAGCTAATTTTTGAGTTAATAACTGATGTTCTACTAGAGTTTCAGGGCCTTTAAACCTCTGTGGAGTAGGGATTTGTGGCAATTCTATACCACAGAATGCCACAAAACCCAGGATATTGGGATTCCAGGGTAAGGACATTAGCAATTTAAGACAATGAAATGTTGAGGGAGGTTGGGGGCCATAAACCCAAGGATTTGAAAGGTAAATCTCTGGAGATGATAAACACTAATCCCCTCTGCACTCCAAGTCAATCACAATTTTAGTCCCCGGGACAGTGCAAATGGGATTGGAGGTCGGGGACAGCATGGTGAATAAGGGGGAGGCTGCCGGGGCAGAAATTTTGGGCCTCCCTTCCTAGCTTTAACTGGAACAGTTCCCATTTTATATGGAGGGTTTTTATATATGTTCTCGTCAGATAAAGGCGTTCCAAACTGAAAGAAAAAGGCAAACCCACTAGGGAGGAAAAGGATGTGGAACCTCTAAAAGGTGGTCTAGTAGGATCCCCTCTGGCTTTTGGCCTTTTTAGAAAAGAGGGACAGACACGAGCAAGGATGTTTTGACTGAGAGATTGGGAAGGGCCAACACCTAGTAATCAGGCATTCTCTACTGTGAAAGCAGTAACAGCATCAGATGATAATAGGATAAAGCAGTTATGAATCTCAGAGCTCCTGCAGCCGAAACACACGCGGGGTCCAGGTGATCTGTTCCTTTGAGCCCAGGGATGCTGAGTTCAGAAGGACCCATCACAGACTGGCCCCTGAAATCAGGAATGTCTGATAGCTTATTCCACGTGGGAAGTGTTTTATGTTGATTTAAGTAGAAGACGACACGTTTCCTTCACAGAAAGGAAAGGTTTTATTGCAACCACATGTTTGCTTGAAAAGACTTTTATTAATTTATTTGTTCAGCAAATACTTAATGAGCACACACACAAAAAATACTTAATGAGCACCAACCGCGTGCTCTGAACCCAGAATCTCGAATGCACAAAATTGGGAGGCTGATTTGTTTAACATAAACTTCCACCCTGAGGAATTTCTGAAACTTGAAAGTCCTGCTTTAGGTGGCACCTATAGAATAAGGGTGATTTTTTTTTTTTTTTGTCTACTTCCAATGGATATTTAAATACCTACACAGAACGAAAAGAGCAGTAGAATTTGTAGATTGTACATCATGGAATTAAAGAACCTTAGAAATCGGGGTGCCTGGCTGGCTCAGTCGGTGGAGCATGGGACTCTGGATCTCGGGGTTGTGAGTTCAAGCCTCATGTTGGGTGTGGAGCTTATGTAAAAAGAAATTTAAAAAAATAAAGAACCTTAGAGATAAAGTGGCCCATTTGCTGTATTTTACAGGTCAGAGAGTCAGACAGACTTGGATTGTAAACTGTTTAACGTAGGGCAGGTCACTTAACCTCTCTGAGCTTTAGGTTCCTCATAGGTAATGTGGGGGTAATAGCAGTTTCCTTATAGAAATATGGTAAGGATTACATAAGGTGATTTATATGAAGTTCTTAGTGCAGTGTCTAACATGCTCCATATTTTTTACTGTTATTGTGATCACTATTTTCCGAGTCAAGGGAACTGAAGCCCAGAGAGGGGAAGTGACTGGCCCAAGGTCACACAGCTTGTTGACGTTAGGACAAATATTAGAACTCAGATCTCTTTTAGTAGTCAAATATTCCTCATACTACCCCACTCATTTACTCCTTTGGAGGAGGTAATGTAAACTTCCCAGGCTTGTGAGAAATATTTTGCTTCATCCAAGTAGAAGGAGGGAGAAGTATGGCAAAGAAATAGCTGACATAAGAAAATTCAAGGGATGCCTGAGTGGCTCAGTCAGTTAAGCATCCAGCTCTTGGTTTCAGCTTAGGTCATGATCTCAGGGTTGTGGGATTGAGTCCCACATCGGGCTCTGTGCTCAGTGGGGAGTCTGCTTGAGGTTCTCTCTATCTCCCTCTGCCTGCTCCTCCCTCTAAAATAAATAAATCTTTTAAAAAAACAAAAAAGAAAGAAAAGAATTCCGGGACCCAGAAAACAAAAAGCAAGGGATAAATGGAGAGCAAAGGAGAAACAATAGTTACTAGAAATTTTAAATAGCAATATTGGAGCATTATAATGTCTGGTGAATCACAAGGACTGATCTCCATCCTTATTCCTTTATTCATCACAAACATTTCAATGAAATTGATGAGGCTTTTCCTTTTTCCTGGGGATAGGGGTGGGGAGGTAGTTCAGAATGCATGTGTGTTTCACAGAACCTTACTGTGACTTCAGCCTCACTAAATAATTGCTATTTGCAAAGCAAAGTACCTCTATAATTGAAGTTAGAATGGAAGTGTGAGTACTTCCAAGGCCTAACCAACGATAGATTTTTAAAGGATGGTGGGCTGGAAGGAAACCTCGTAGCAGAAGTTGCTGAGAAATTTAGAAAAAGGGAAAAAAAGAAAAACAGTGAAGTCATGTTGTCCATTGCTTTATGTAGCTACGGCAATAGGTAAGTACAGCACCGAGTGTGAATGATTTGTTAGGTGAAAATATTCTTTTTTTTAGATTATTTAATTTTTTTTGAGAGAGAGAGAGACACAGCGAGAGAGGGAACACAAGCAGGGGGAGTGGGAGCGGGAGAAGCAGGCTTCCCGCGGAGCAGGGAGCCCAATGCGGGGCTTGATCCCAGGACCCTGGGATCATGACCTGAGCCGAAGGCAGACATTTCCCTGACTGAGCCACCCAGGCGCCCCTAGGTGAAAATATTCTTAAGAATTAGAAATCTATGGGAAAAAAAGCCACTCTGTCCATATGCTAAAAGGAAAGGTTGATTTATACAGTTGCCTAAAAAAGAGATGATACATTCTTTCCTAAACGGTACTTCAGTTTAGTCAGAGGACTGCAGTGTTGTTTGTTGCAACATCCAAGGAGTATTCAGAATATTCCAGGAGTTTCCTAAAAGGAGCAAAGCTATTTTGCTCAGTTCATTACTGCAGAAAGTCTGACCGGAGTTCCTAGCCCACCAAAAGGGATACACTGAGACTGTCTCAGGTGTAATTACCACACAAAACAGTTGTCCCTTCGTTGTTTCATCCTTGAATCTTAAGTTTGCCGATTTCCCTCTCCTAAAAATAATTACACCTTATTTCAAATAAAGTATATGGATAACACCTGGATTGCTTATTCATTTGATAACTTTCACCTTCACAGGGCATCAGGTACTGTTTACACAGCGCTAGACATTGCCACCGGACAAGAGGTGAGTGCTTGCATTCGATCCTGATTTTTACTTCTTCTTTGATGGCAGCTAGGCCTTACAAAATGGATGGCACTGGGTTGACATGGGAATCGATTCCATCGATGTCCAAAGTTTCAGAAGTGGGTGGTTTCCTCCTGATTGACCAAAGAAAAGGGCATGAGTTTGCGGCGCTGAGAAAGAGCCTAGTAAGATAAAGAATGTTTATGCCTTACTCTGTGTACCAAAAAACAACAACAACAACAACAAACAAAACCAGAAACACATACACACAAAAAAACAACAAAAGCACAAAAAACAAAACAAAAACACACACACAAAAAAACAAAAACAAAACCATGGATGTGTGTATTTAATGACTGTAACTCATCCTTGCATTATCTTTCAGGTGGCCATAAAGCAGATGAACCTTCAACAGCAGCCCAAAAAGGAATTAATTATTAATGAAATTCTGGTCATGAGGGAAAATAAGAACCCCAATATTGTTAATTATTTAGATAGGTAAGTGTTTTCTCTTGTTACGTACTGGCTTTCTTTATGCGATGTCATTGGCTTGGCAAAGTATTTTATTTAGGATCTAGTCGTGTAGCAACCATCCTACAAATACTTCTCGAAGGCTACAGAATAGGGAATCTCACATCTATTGCTCAACGTTGCCCACCCATCAGACATTTGAAGACACATTTTATGGTCCTGCTTCTAAGCCTGAGCAGTTTGTGTAATTTCCTTTTGAGGATCATGACTCCGTGTTGGCAGGAAATAGACTGTTGCGTACAGGGCAGAGTCGCGGTGTTTTAAACCTTTCACCAAGTGTTTGGAGCCAGTACAATCTCTGGGTTTGTGAGTGAAGAAGGCTGGCTGCACCAGCCCCGCTTTAATGGGTGCTTTGTGATTAACTGACAGTGAGGTCTAGGGAATTGAGACTTTAATCTCAAACCTTTTTCCTGGACCAGGTAATTAATGTCTCTTTCACCAGTGGTATTAGTGGTGGGTTATAAATAGGCATTTAAAGACGGCGCTAACTCTTCACCTGTGGTTAACATCTGTCTCATTCAATTTCAGTAAGTGTTTGCTTAGCACCACTGGGCTGTGTACTCTGGGGGGATATAAAGGAAATAAGATGAGGTCTCCAACCTCAATGAGCTTAAAATCTTGCTTTCTGTGTTTTGTGCCAGGTGGACCAGAGAAAGAGGGGAAAGGGGGAGTAAAAAAAAAAAATGGAGTCAAATTTTACGGCCGAAACCCAAGCTTCATAAAGTGCCACTTTGGGGCTATCTGCAGTAAAGTGACTCCACTCTGCTTTTTTAATTTTGTAAAAATTGCCTTTGTAAAAAAAAAAAAAAAAAAATGTAGATTTCTCGGATGCTTTCTTTACTAATGAGCTAGAGCCTGTGAATGTTCATTTTTACCAGGCTTCCCAGGTGAATCTCAAGAGCACTGCAGTTTGAGCATCACTGGATAGAAAGTCTTGCTTCGTATTGATGTGGAACTTAGGGCAGGATAGAATCTTTGGGGTCATTCCATTCACCGTAATTCCTCTCTTGCTGAGCAGGGGGAAAGAGAGACCTGATCATGCTGCTAATGTGCCTTCAGATGGTTCCAGATGTTTTGAATTTGCCCAGTTGTTGGGCTCTGGTGACCTTCCTCCCCGTGTTTGATCACTTGGGGTGTGTTCCTCAGTAACCACCTAAAGAAAATGGGCACATTGCTACTGACTTCTAATAGGACCACGACCTCAGCAAAGTACATCCATTGCAAACATGAGTCTCTTTGATTCCGAAACTGCTCGAAAGCATTTCAGGAGTTAATTTGGTAGAATCAAAAATAATGCTGAGATCTGAATAAATATCTTATAAATCTGTACACCAGGGGCCAGTTCAGTCCAAGACGTCAACACAATGGCTTGAGTTATCCAAAATGGCTAGTCACTGATCCCATTCATTGCAAGTAGCTTTTACAGTGGAATGAGAGCCAGTATTCAGTCACCAGAGACCTCCTTGCTCTTTTCCTTCCTCCATGGTGCACAGTTAGGTCTGATGATCCTTTGGTTTTCACGCATGTTTTCTTCTTTTTTTTTTAATTTAATTTTATTATGTTATATTAATCACCATACATTACATCATTAGTTTTTGATGTAGTGTTCCATGATTCATTGTTTGCATATAACACCCAGTGCTCCATGCAGAACGTGCCCTCTTTAATACCCATCACCAGGCTAACCCATCCCCTCACCCCCCTCCCCTCCAGACCCCTCAGTTTGTTTCTCAGAGTCCATAGTCTCTCATGGTTCGTCTCCCCCTCAGATTTCCCCCCCTTCATTTTTCCCTTCCTACTATCTTCTTTTTTTAACATATAAGGTATTATTTGTTTATACATGTCTTTCTCTGATTGACTTATTTCGCTTAGCATAATACCCTCTAGTTCCATCCACGTCGTTGCAAATGGCAAGATTTCGAGTTTTTTGATGGCTACATAATATTCCATTGTATATATATACCCCATCTTCTTTATCCATTAATCTGTTGATGGACATCTTGGCTCTTTCCACAGTTTGGCTATTGTGGACATTGCTGCTATAAACATTGGGGTGCACATAGCCCTTCGGATCACTACATTTGTATCTTTGGGGTAAATAAGCTGTAGTGCAATTGCTGAGTCGAAGGGTAGCTCTATTTTCAACTTTTTGAGTAGCCTCCATACTGTTTTCCATAGTGGCTGCACCAGCTTGCCTTCCCACCAACAGTGTAGGAGGGTTCCCCTTTCTCCGCATCCTCGCCAACATCTGTCGTTTCCTGACTTGTTAATTTTAGCCATTCTGACTGGTGTGAGGTGGTATCTCATTGAGGTTTTGATTTGGATTTCCCTGATGCCGAGCGATGTTGAGCACTTTTTCATGTGTCTGTTGGCCATTTGGATGTCTTCTTTGGAAAAATGTTTGTTCATATTCTCTTCTAATGCTAAGGAAGTTTCCTGTTATCATTGATAATTTCCTCCCATTATAGAATATGGCCAAATGCAGACACCACCTGCGAACTACCTTCCTAAAGGGAATATAGAAGAGTCCCCACTTCCTTGGGCCGAGTCAATGTCTTTTTCTTCTCTTCCTGTAGCTACTTAGTGGGTGATGAACTATGGGTAGTCATGGAATACTTGGCTGGTGGCTCTCTTACTGATGTGGTCACAGAGACCTGTATGGATGAAGGCCAGATAGCAGCTGTCTGCAGAGAGGTAAGAAAAGAGAGCATTTCTAGCTGATGAGAATGCCAAAACTGGCAGTTCTTTATCTCTGATTATCCAGAATGCGTATAACATCAAAGTAACGATAGCACATCTTTTCTACGAAAAAATAAAACCAATTGGAGAACCTAACTTCAATTCAGATCCTTTCCTAATAGCACTTTCCATCTCCTCCCTTCCCAGCCTGTTATTTATTTTAGTCCCTTCGCTCTGGATCTTTTGAGTTCTATTATGCCATTCACAAGGTGCCGCCTCTAAGCCTGCATGTTGTAGTCTCAGCGAACATGGGAAACACTGATGGTGGCATGCAATTTTTTACATGATTTTTACATGATAATCATTTTGTCCTGCATGTGCAACGGGAGCCTTGTAAAATACAAACCATTATAACCCCATAATTTTTGAGAAGGCAATTTAAGCGAGATCCTGCCTCAGCCCAGACAGTATTTGCTTTCCCAGGACAATCTGGACGTCCCTCCAAACCCTCCAGTGGGTCTGAGTGTCTGCCTCTCGTCCCATAACAGTGTCATATCCCTAGTTTCATGCAAAACTGAGGACATTTTATCATATTTTTCTCAGTACTTGAAAACACACTCCTCTTCGGAATCTCATCTCGGACATGACCATCTACCCCATTCGTTGTGGTGAGGTTGTCTTGCAGACACAAGTAGGAACTCTGACCCACTGAAACTTGAAAACCAGTGACAGGAAAACAAAACCAAATAATTGCAGCTAGTCATTTTTTTTTTTATTATTTTAAATCGTTCACTTAAACTTCCTCCTGCCTTGCTCTCCTCTTGTCCCCATTTCCTCCTGCCCAAGCACGTAGATGTATCCACCAAACATAGGTATTTTCTATTCATGCAATGAATCAAACTTCTAATATATAGGAGACCATTCCACCCTGAGCCTGTGGTTTCCATGTTGCATGATGCAAAGCCATTTCCCAGCAAGTGACTATAGCTACTTCATAGCCTAGAAGTGGTTCCCAACCATGGCTGTCCATCAGAGGTAGCTTGGGGCACTCATTTTCAATGCAGATTCCTGGGCCCCCCTTCAGGCCTCCCGAATCAAATAGCACGGAGGCAGAAACTTACTGTGCCTGTGTAGGACCAAGCCGAATCCACACCCTCCAGATGACAAGGTCAAAGTATGATTATTAATTGGTTAGTCTGGCTGTATTAAGGATTTAGAGCTATTTATCACACACACACACACACACACACACACCACTCTTCATGTCCTAGTCTGACTCGGGAGCTTTTATAATGTATAATGCTGTTATAGCATTGATGTAAATGGTAACATGATTTCAAAATGATAAGACAACAGTAATCTATTTCACATGATAATGTAAATTTATACCTTTGCCCCACATTTATCTAGAAATGAAACGTACATGGTTTTAAATTCTTTGTGATATAATTAGAACTTATTTTTCTGATTTCAATAGTGCCTACAAGCTCTGGATTTTTTGCACTCAAACCAAGTGATCCATAGAGACATAAAGAGTGACAATATTCTTCTTGGGATGGATGGCTCTGTTAAATTGAGTAGGTATTTTGGTTCAGATGGTGTTTGAAAGAGTATCGGGGGATTTCTGCTCGTTTCCTGTCTGTCTTGAGAAGAAAGTGGCTATTGAAAGTGATTGGTTTGAAAGCATTTAGAGCCCCATTTGAAGTAAAGAATTTTTTTTTCTAATGCTGTGTTCCTATAGATCGTGGCCGGATTCTGGGGGTTTAACATTTCAGAATTCCTAGGGACTGCCATCTGCTAGATGACAAATACCTAACTAGAAAACCGAAAGATCCTATAAGTTGGAAGGGACAGTAATAGGGAGGGAACCAGATAGAGGACTAGTAAAAATGACATCAAGTTAATCGGTTATCTCAGACCTTTTTAAAATCAGGGCCACCAGAGGGATCAGGTAATAATGATTAGGAGCTAGGGAGTGGTGGAATCTCCGTGTCGAATGGAGGAAGGGACAGCCATATGTGAAAGTGACCTATTGTGAAAAAAAAAAAAAAAAAGAAGAAATTGAATTGATTGTAACTGACTTTTCTTCCCTGCAGCTGATTTTGGGTTCTGCGCCCAGATCACCCCCGAGCAAAGTAAACGGAGCACTATGGTGGGAACTCCCTACTGGATGGCACCTGAGGTTGTAACTCGAAAAGCTTATGGTCCGAAAGTTGATATCTGGTCTCTGGGGATTATGGCAATCGAAATGGTGGAAGGTGAACCCCCTTACCTTAATGAAAATCCACTCAGGGTAAGTCAGGAGAAAATTCAGGTACATCCTCCCTGGGAACGGGGCCAAGTGTCCTTTCTTGTCTCTACTGAAAGGGGCCAGAATGGGCTCTTTCCTGGGACAAATGACATAGAAGCTCCAAGTTATGATTCTATTTAGTTCTATGATATCTATAAATAGATTCTATTTAGATTCTATTCAATTACTGTGAGTTATTCTCAATATCTTCTAAGGTGTCCCAGCAGGTGTCCAAGTGCTTGAAGATCAGTATTTTTTTTTTTAAAGATTTTATTTGTTTATTTGACAGAGAGAGAGATAGCGAGAGCAGGAACAGAAGCAGGGGGAGCGGGAGAGGGAGAAGCAGGCTTCCCGCGGAGCAGGGAGCCCAATGTGGGGCTCGATCCCAGGACCCTGGGATCATGACCTGAGCTGAAGGCAGACACTTAATGACTGAGCCACTCAGGTGCCCCGAGATCAGTATTTCTAATGGCAGGGGTCTTTAAAATTCTTTAGTACAACTTTCTGCTGTTAAAAAAGAAAAAAATGCTTTTTTTTTTTAAGCAAGATGTGGGAAGAAAAGTATTTTTATCACATGCCACGGTTAAATGATCTATCTAGGAAACACTTGCTTTATAATTACTTTAACAAAGTGAATAAATGCATTTCCAGAACACCTATAATTTTTAAATTAGATTTTGTCTCATTGTCAGTAATGATTTATTGAGCAGCAGTGGCTCGGTGGGTATTGAATGGAGCGTGAGATAGACACAGCGCCAGCCTGGTGGAATCACAAACTTAATTAGACTGTCTAGTAGAAAATGAATGGAAATAGTTGGCGTTGGGTAACTCAGTTTGCTCCTGCGGAAACAGAGGTTTGATCCTTATGTGGTCTGGTTACCTCTGCCAAGACAGGAGCTCCATTTCGGAGCTAACCCCACCATCTTTATTCGGAGATGAGCCATGGATCATGAGAGTAAAAGGCAAAGGAGTATGGAAGAAATGCTCCCTCAGCGCAGGAGTGAGCCAGTAGCTCTTTTGTTGGGCATTGCCTAAGGGTGAGCCAGAAGCTGTGTTGTATACTTAAAGGGCATCCCACTTCCGAAAAAGGAAATATGCGCAGATTCAAATTCTACTCTCAGAACCCAAGTAGCCTACCAGCGCCAACAATATTTCGCATACTGTTTGCATCATTACCACTGAGTCTAAAATTGAATTTTACCCTTAGTATAAAAAGAATCGGCCTTGGTCAATGGTTAAGTCTTTACACGGTCAGCTTATAAAATCCACCTTCACATCAAATATATGTGGCTTTCTGTATATGTCAAGCAACCTACAAACTCATTGTCTCATTTTTGCCGTTGAACATTTTGTAATTGGGAGCTGCAGCCCCCGTGTAGGGAGCGGGGGACAGCCTCCTCCTCGCCTCCTCCTGTAAGTCCTCTCTGGCGCTTGGCCTCTTGTCCTAGTCCCTGTACTGATTAGGAAACAACAGAGGGGAGTGAATGCCCTAATGAATGTTACACGTTGTTGCTCTGGTCTCGTGAAACAATCTGGAAGTGAGATGTGCACATTGATTAGCTGCCTGCAGGGCTGAGTGAAAAAGAAGGGGCATTTTCCCACCGTTTGTGGGTCAGCCCTCCACGAATTTAATCAAGCCCACCCCTGACCTATGGACCGAGCGCATCAGGATAATTACTGGGGCTTATCCTTATTGTTTAACCACCTTTGCCCATTAAGAAATAGCAGTGAAAGAACACATCAGGCCTCTTGTTTCGCTGGATTTCCTCCTCTAAGTCTTCGGAGTTTGGAGGCACTAAACGGATTACGGCTATTTTGCTTTCTGCCTTCTAATGAGTAATTTACAACCTGCAAAATTTAAGGATTAAATAAATGGCGCTGTAAAGCAACTGGTCTCAGTAATGCATTTATTACCTTCTTCAGTTCCCCAATTACAATTGATCGCTCTTTAGCTGGGCTGTTAATTGTTAGAAAAAAGGAAACAAGTTTTAATCTTTATAGGCTTCTTCTAGCCTAGGATTAGAACTCATAATGAACAGCTTGTCTCTTAGAATCCACAGCCTTGTATCTAAACAAGTACTTGCAGATTAACAAGCCGCCAGGTTCAGGAAGCCTATGTTAAGGCTATAACAAAAAGACCTGTCAGAAAGACCACCCTGTTGAATTCCACTGATAAGGACTTAGTCTAACTTTGCTCATTACTTTCCATGTGTGATCAACCTCCAATGACTCAATCAATCAACAGGTCCATATTGAGCCAGCCCTCTCCCTCTCTACTAGGTGCCACAAGTACTTTCTTAGTTTTGATTTCAGATATGTTGCCCTCGTGTTCACTTAAAGAAAACACAGCATCTCAAGCCGTATGCCCTTATTTGGGATTTGAAAAATGTAGTCACCAAAACCATGGAGGGGATGGAGAGAAAATGTCTAACAGGAGCCTGTAAGGAGCCTGTATTTTCTTGGATCCTGGTGACCAGGCTATGTGTGGGGGATTGGAAAATTGCAGAGCTTCAGGAGAGGTAGAAAAGAGAAGTAGGTTAGTCCTTCTTTCTTTGAAATCCTTCCAATACTACCATCCACCCACCCCTTTGGGCTTTGAGGAGGAAAGAGGGAATTATGTAGAAGGAAGACAGTGTGGGTAGAATAGAGGTTAGCACGTTGTTGTGAAAAAATTTGACCCCTGTAGTCAGGCAGATCTGGCGTGTCCCAGCTCCACAACCTACAAGCTCTGTAGCGACTTTCCTTAAGTCACTTAAAACCTTTATAAACCTGTTTCCTTTGTATAAAATGAGGATACCTGTCTTGCAGAGTTAGTGTGAAAACTAAATAAAATAATGCATGTAAGTCACCTAGCACAGTGTCTAGCTCATTGTAGGAAATACGTATATACGTATTGTGTGTGTGTGTGTGTGTGTGTGTATGTGTATATAGAGAGAGACATTATATGAATAGAAAGCTGAGAAAGGAAAAAGAAAGGATCCTTAGAGTGCTTTTTCCACATTCATAAAGGGAGATTGGATTCCCCACTTCTGCAAAAACTTCCCCTTCACACTGGCTACACTCCGATCCCCACAAAGAGTAGAGGGCTCTACAGAGTCCAGTAAAATTACAATGAACAGGTAACACTGAACAGGACAGGTTAAAGGTGAAGATGGGCTATATCTTTGAAGGCTGTTTGCCTTTCGTTGTGGTTTTTTGCATGTGTCTTTGTTGTGTCCGTTGCAACCAAGCAAGCCCTTTGTGAATGTTGCCAGTTAACATATCATTCATGCAAGGAATTAGCTACTTCCCCCCCTAGTTATAAAGTGGTTGGGATTTTTTTTAATGTAAATTGCTCTGTGCTAATTGACCTAATTTACTCATAAAATGCCTTTTAAAGGTCATAGAGTTATTAACTGTACTGATGTTATGAGGTTGGTACCCTTCCAGAGACAGAGAGGAGACAAGCTTCTTCCTGTCCCCCACTGCCTGAAGTCTTTGCACTCAACGTGATTGGCCTTAAACATGTTGTTCTGTGGCCCATGGACATTTTTAGTGCGGTCTCCAATAATAAAGTGCCTTGTTCTTTCTATTTGCCAAAGTGACCGGGGTTAAAATCGAACGTCCCCTGTGGATACGCAAATCAGTGTTAGCGTTCTGCTCATCTCCCCAACTTTTTTGTTAATTGGAGATATGTTCTCTAAAACCTGTGATTATAATGACCTGATTCTAAATAAAGAGGTACAATCATCTCCATAGAGCAAATCTTGGGTTTGTTTTTCTCAGCACCAAAAGAGTGCCTCTTTATGAACTTTGCATTCACAGGTAATTGGGCTGTTCTTATCAATGGGTTTTGATGGAATCTAGCATCTATGAAATGTCTCTGTGACATCCAGTTGAAGTTCCTACTGGACTGTGGGTGGATCCCTTTTTTATGTGTACTTTTCCAAACCTTTATCCTACTTGAAATGAACGTTCAACATATGTTGTCTTTCAGCCCTCACTTTAAACATCAACGAAACGGTAGCAAACATTGGCTATTTGGAAGACAGTTCTTCATATTAATAAGAGACCTCTGAATGCTCAAAACACTAGTATAGTGTGTAAACCACTGATTCTGTACCAGTGGGTCTACTCCTTGGTTGTGCATTGGAATCACTTGCAGAGCTTGAGGAACCAATGATGTCAGGTTCCCACACCAAGGACTGAACTAGAAACAAAGCTCTGTGGCAAGGCCTTTCTAGAACCCTGTCTAAACTGGAGAACAATTCTTCATCAGCCCTCTTTGAGCATGGTGGTTCAACCAAAAAAGAGCACACTCTTATTCGGTCCACATTTCTCCATTTCATATATATATATATATATATATATATATATATATATATATATATATATATATCACTCTGTCAAAACCTTGTCGAAATCCTGATGCACTCTACAGTGCACTCTACGGCATTCTCTGGCTTAGCAGTCCAGGAACACTATCAAAGAAATGGCACTAGCTCAGCAGGTACACTCATGATACTCCATTTCTTTTCCAATTTTACTTATTAAAAATAGAGTTGATTGTTAAATGTGCGAGCCGCTGAGTACATAGCACGTATTGGTGATAATAAAGCTATCAGTCTGACTACTCATGATTAGGAGTGCATTTCCTGTATGGCCAGAGAGAAGGGAGGGCAGGAATCTAAAATCATCAGCCCTGTTGTCTACACTGCAAGGCTTCTTAGTCTCCCTTTATGCACACTTAAGGCACTACACAAATACTATTTTTTTTTACTATCGAACTAAGGAAATTCTGGTTAGCTTCTATGTCTAGAGAAGGGAGTTAAGCAGAAGGGAATCTCTAGCAACTAAAAAACAGCAGCTAAGGGCCAAAGTGTTTTTAGCTCCTCCAACCACTGGAACCTGTGTTGTGGATTGGAATGTCTGGGTTTGATGGCGCGTGCTCATTTGGAATTAAAGTCAGACATAAACTTCCTGAGCGCCAGAGAAGCAAGCATACTTTGCTAGCACTCAGTCAA